TTCAAGATGACTGCTCTCCACTCTATAATAATTAGGTGGTCTGGACTCATGTAAAGGCCTCTTGCCTTTAGAATGCATTCTAGCGACTGTATGCTCAGCCATTAATGGTTGTTGCCTAATGCTAGTTGGGTATGCCCTTTTGTTATAAGCACTGGTTGGTTTAGGACGCCTCTGTACACCCTTGTAATATTGATTCCCGTCAATTGGAATCCCTTTCAACCATTTGTAACTTAGCCTACACCTGGGACATATTCTTTGCATGATAGCTGCTTCTAAAGAATCGTCATTCAGTGCTTCTTCATCAGAGTCTTCTCTCTGGCGTGAGAAACCTTGTCCAATAATTGGTAGATTCCCATTGTCTTTCTTGACAGTTGTCTGGCTGGCCACATGCATCTGCACATTGACTTCTTCCAATTCTTTCAAGGTCAAGTTCTGGAAGTCTGGCATAATAACATTGCCTGCCACCTCACCAATTTTTGGGAATGGATTAGTATTAATCTCCATGGCCTTTTCCGCTTTAGCTGGGAATTTTAAAGTCCCCTTTCGAATCTGCTCTTGGATCCTGTCTCGAAAAACAATGTAGTTTTTAGTTAAGTGAGACCAAGAATTATGCCATTTACAATACACTTTTCCTTTAAGTTCATCTGGAGACGGAATTTTGACTCCTTTTGGTAACTTCAGGAAATTTGCAGCAAGCAAACGATCAAAAATGTCATCTGCCTTTGTTAAATCGAAAGAGTATTTCCTATGAAGGTCTTTCTTTCTAAACCGCTGGTCAATTGTTGTATCTTTATGAATTAATGCTTCACAGATCACAGGTTCTTTCCCTACAATCTCTGCTGCATCAATCTCATAATTAGGATCTCTATAATACGTCTTGTATGATGCATTACTTCGATCTTGTTCTTCTTCTAGTAATGCTTCATACCTAGACACCTTATAGGTTAATTCCACTAAGTCTCTAAACTCAGTTGAGTCAAACTTCTTTCGAAGCCTAAACTCTAGACCATTTTGAGCCAATCTCACAAATTCAGGCTCTGGTAAGATGATCCTAAATTTATTTTGTGCTCTTTTAAATCTGGCAATAAACTGAGTAGCCTTCTCATCAGACCTTTGACTCAATCTTGCCAAGTCTGCCATGGAAACCTCTGGCTCTGTTTGGAAGAATTGGGCACGAAATGCCTCTTCCATTTGTTGTCAAGTTTGGATAGAGCCAGGTGTAAGGTTAATATACCATGCAAATGCTCCCCCAGTTAGAGAATTTGGGAAAAATCTTAACTTCATATAGTCATTATTGGTAAATTCACCGCACTAAGCCGCGAACCTAGCAATATGCTCAACCGTTGACTGGTTTCCATTCCCATAGAAAAGGGCAAAATTTGGTATCCTGAAACCTCTTGGGTATTCATGTACCCTATCTACCCATTCTGGGTATGGTTTCCTGTACACAGGAGTCTGAACCCCCCGAGCCATTAGTCCACACATCTCTCTAACAATGTCAGCAATTTAGTCTCTAGGGACCACATTTTGTGCCCGTTGAACCACTACTGGAGGAACAAACACAGGATTTGGTGAACAACCTTGTGCTTGGGGTCCTCTTGGTCCATAGGGTGGTATATTTGGGACTGGTTGTCCCTGTGGTACTGGCTGCTGTTGAGGGTATAGATGACCTCTTTGAGCCTGTCCTGCAAAAGGACCTGCGAAAAGTGCTGGAACAGGTGTTGTGTCTCTTCCAGTTGCAGGAAAACCTTCCAATCCCCCGGGTATAAATTCGAATAAAGGATTAGTGAACCCCCTTGTGCTAGGTATGGTTTCGAACATGGGATTTGGAACCATCCTTATGCCATTTTCTTGTACTAAGCCAGATCCATCAATTTGCATGGCTTCACTGTTAAGTAATGAGGCATTTTGACTTGCCATAGGCCTCGAAATAGGCTCATACCAAGACTGAAGTGATGGTCTTTCATAGTTTTGATTGCTAGTTTGACCATTAAAATGTTCATTAATTTGCATAGGCTGTTCATCTCTAGTTAATCTTTGCTGAGGGACATTTGAAATTTCCTCCATGTGTCTTGTGTTTGTTGGTTGGTGGGTATTCATTCGATCCAAAAAGGACGTTACCCACCTTTCCATTGTATTCTTTAACTGTTGTCCCATGGCATCTACTAGGCCACCCCATGGATTCATTGGCTGAGTAGATGGAACAGTGGATGGTACAATTCCTTGGCCTCGTCCAATATTATGAACATGTGGTACTTGTTCCGAAGTGCTAGTCTATTCGACCATAGGTTCTAATAAAATAGGTATTTCCACAGGATGTGTTATCGCATTATCCTTTGAATTAGGTATTTCTACCTCTCCTTCCATGCCTTCTTCCAATCGTTCATTTTCTCCTTGTCTCCTACGTCTAGCCATTTCAATTAGTCCCACTGGGCGTGCCAAAACTATATGTTGGCTTTTTTGGCTTTCAAAGGTTATTTTTGTAATTGTGAGCGTGCCAGCAAGGATCAATCAGTCCTTACAGAAATTTAATTGCCAACCAATTATTAGACGATTGTGTTTTAGTTCTTTCAGCCTCAATGAAGATGACTTTTACTGGTGGCTTTGTTTAGGAGAATTAAGCAAACAATGATTAAATGAAGAATGGTTATAGTATTTCATTAAGCAAAATGAAAGACTTACAAAGATCTGAATCAGCCTCGTAGAGGTTTACAGCAATAAGCTACTTGAAAACTACTTCTATGAACGAAATGCAGAGCAGGAATTTGAAGTACAGAAATGTAAAGAACAAGAAATGTAAAACTGGAAAAGAAATAAAGTAGAATAAAACTGATTTTTTGGATCTGAGTCTGGGGTTTTTTTTTAGGCCTTCACTGCTATTTATATTTCTCAAGGATGACCATCGAACTGCACTTCTAACTGTTGAATCATTCCTCCATGATCGCTGATCATGTTGCCTTATACTTAGCTCCACTATGCCATTACTTGCAGTTAGGCTTCCCTCCTGATTTTGAATTTGAATGTGAGTAACCATTGAAGCCACATCACTTTGCATCCCTTTGCTGATCCAGTGCTATGCAGATCTTATAAGAACCAATACTAACTGCCACGTGTACGATCACGATCAAAAACTTGAATAGTCTTCCCGTATTGCCCTTATTTTGCCACGCGTTGAAACGATCAAAAACTTGAATAGTCTTCCCGTATTGCCCTTATTTTGCCACGCGTTGAATTGTAATTGGCTTATACAAAATATGTAGTCAACAAAATTGAAAATCAGGGTATTTTATGGTGTTAGAGAGGATGTGGTTAAATTTTGCTATATTTTCACTCTAATTTCTCCCTTTCTTCTTTTCTTCTTCTTCTTCTTTTTATTTTTTTATTTTTTTTATTATTTATTTTTTACCAGCAATGTTTTGGACATTTTGGTCTCCGGCGATGTTATTGACATCTAGCAACATTCTAGACATTCTGATGATGTTTAGAACATTGGTAAATTTCTGACGATACTTTGACGACTTTCTAGCAATGTTGAACATTCTAGTAAGTCTTGGTGACTATCAGACGAAAGTTTGGCGATGATCTGATGGTGGTGAGATGTGACAACATCTTTAAATTTAAAAAAATAAAAATAAGATTTTTTTGACAATAATTAAAAAAATGTATGACTAATTCGTGTAAAATGTCTTATTTTGAAGTTTTAAACTTTACACATGGGGACCTATAGGTCAGTGTCCCTAAAGTTATATAATATTCAAACTGCACCTGAAAGAAATTAGTAAAAAGAGTATGAGAAGCTTCCCTTTTAAGTGACAACCCTGTTCTGTAATATGCTTTTAATCCTCAATTGTGTCGATGTTTGTGGTAAATGTAAATTTAGGTGACAAATGTGTTAATTTAAAAAAATCTGTTAAAAATTCTGCTTCAATGAAGGCCTTAATTGTGTCAAAAACTCAAATTGATTAATTTATTATGATCAACATAATTTTTAAAGCCTACTAGTAAGTTTACAAAATTTGATTCAATCTAAGAGAGAATGGTTAATCCTAAGCCTAACACCATAATCTAATCCTCAAGTATAAATCAGCTATATTAAGAGCTTGGAGTCTTAATTACGAGTTTGAGCTCCAAAATTCTTAAGTAGAGAAGTAGAGGGAGATGTAAGGTGTGTTTGATTTGGGTTTGTAGTGTATTTTTTAAAATAAAAAAGTATAAAAACTTGCTTGATTTGTTTTTTTTTTAAATATTTTTTCTAAAATAATTTTGATTTTTTTTGTAGAGTAAATTTTGAGAAAAAAATACAAAAGCTTATTTGATTTGTCTTTTTCTAAATATTCTCTTCAAAATAACTTCCGTTTTTTTTTAAGAATAATTTTTAAAATAAAAAATATAAAAATTTGTTTGCTTTGCATTTTTATAGAGTTCATAGTTTTTTAAGATGAAAGTACAAAAGCATTTTTGATTTGCCTTCTTTTTTGCAAACATATTTCAAAAATAATCCTGAAAATTGATTACTCTTCAAAAAGTGTATGGAGAGTATATTTCTAAAAAATTTCTCCCAAAATCAAACCAAATAAGGTTGTAATTTTTAAAATGTCAGGGATAATCCGTATTAAACCGAAACTCTAGGAGGTGTCAATGTAATTTACCCAGATATATATATATATATATATATGAAGAAAATTTGTTATCCATCACATAGACCAAATATAACCATTCACATTAACACATACATTAAGGCCTCGTTTGGCAAGAGGCTATTTTAGTCAATTAGCCAAAAAGTTACTAAATTAGCCAAAAAGTCAACAACCCATACTAAAAAGTCAAAGATTCTCTTTTCTCTCTACTTTTTGCACATCTTTTCGTAATTAGCCAAAAAGTCATCCCAAACATACAAGTTTTTTTTACCTACCTTTTTAGCCAAATAGCCAAAAAATTACTAAATTAGCCTCTTCCCAAACGAGGCCTAACAGTAATTTAACAGAAAATAGACCATAAACTAATAAGGTAGATGGGGTAGCAATTTCTCATTCAAATATTTAAAAAAAAAAAAAAATACTGCCTCTCTCATATAGATATACAAAAGGAAAAATCTAAAAAGAAAGCGAACAGGTTCTCTACCCCATTAGTACTAGTAGCAGCCAAATATCAGCACTCAAAAAGGAATCAAATTCCCATAGCTTTTTCACATAGAGGAGGAGGAAGAAAACAAGAACAAGAACAAGAACAAGAACAAGAACAAGAACAAAAACAAACCCTTGTGGAAGGTTGTGTCCAGATGATGATTCCCTGCCTACCCACCTCTACAGAATATCACATGCTTTGCTCGAGCTGTCACGGCAGAATATCATCCACACATCATACCCCCCTCACATCAACCCCAATAATCTTTCAAAGCCTAAAAAAGATAGGGCCTGAGAACAAAAGGATTAGAGCTAAAGAGCAGAAAAACAAGTGTTTGTTTTGGTGGAGGGTCACACTGGCCTTGCTGTCAGTGTTGGTAATGCTGGTGCCACTTCCTGTGGGGCCCAGGCCAAATATAGAGGAGGGAGTAGTTGTGGTTGTGGATGGGGTTGTGCTTGAGGAGGGTGTGGTTGTGCTTGTGGATGGAGTTGTGCTTGTTGATGGGGTGGTAGTTGTTGGGGTTGTGCTACTCCCTGCAGAGCTGTAAACATATATAATCAACATCAACAACAACAATAATAACATCATCAGTCTCAAATCAAAAAAGCAAACATATATATAATAATAATGTAGCAAAAACCCTATACCGAGTTCTTTACCAAACACAAAACACAGTTCTTTTTGAAACCCGAGGTGTTTCGTGCTTCTTGTTTTGAACTTGTTTCCTATAAATTTCAAGTTGTTTATTTGAAATCATGTTTCAGAAACAGCTTCCAAGGGTCTTTAAAACTAGTCAATTTAAGTTGTGTTCTGAAGTGAAAACCGATACAGTTCACAAAAAGTTGAAAAATGCTTGAGTTTGGAAGATATGTTTTAAAATGGCTTGGTTTGGGATTTGGGGTAATTTGTGAAATGAAAGAAGCGAAAGAAGAACTTAAGGGAAATGTGAAAAAAATTCAGCTTACCTTTTAGAGAAACTATTTCATATAATGAATACGCCAAGGCATCCAGGCCAAATACTGAATCCGTTACATAAAATACTCTCTCGAAAAGATAAGATCCAACCGCAACTTTAGAGTTATTTAGCATTCTTTCAAAAATTATTTTCCAAATGCAAGTTATTTTGAACTTTTTTTTTCTAACTCCTGAAATCAAACGAAAACATCATGATGAAAGAAATATTGCTTCAGGTTCTGAATAATTATTATTATTATTATTTATTTTTTTATTTTTTTAAATAAAGTGTGTTGGTTGTTGGTGAAAAAAAAAAGAAAAAAAAAAAAGAAAGAAAAGAACACAACCTTGAACAATTTGATATATTATAATGAAAGCAAATGGGGACCAGCTGGAAGAAAGTATAAGGCCCAGCTCATCCCAAAGAATACACTATGATGGGAGAGAAGAAAAAAACATATGTCAAGCTGAGATCTGTAACAATAATATTCCATCTTGTGTAAGAAATATTAAAAAAAAAGGCAACCCAACATATGAAGTTTCAACATCATGACAGCTCATTGCTTTGGTGAAAAAACAGTCAGAAAAAAAATAAATAAATAAATAAAATTAATGATTAAACTTCATTTTACTCATGGATCACATAGTTCATCAATTTAATGCGGGATAAATTATAGATTGATAAAGGTACATTTAGAAGAGAAATTTATATTGATATAATATGGCTCAAGCTTCTCTCCAGTTGGGAACCCAATTGGAGACTCCGTGGGGTCACCACAGAGCCACATCGATACGTAAAACTCGTCAAGTACTTCATTTCTATAAAAAATTACGTTAATCAGATATCGATAATCACTTGATCAGATCACATTTGTATTAATAATTTATTTTTAAAATCATAATTACCATTGACACAAATTTGATCTGATCAAATAACTATCAATATTTGATCAACGTGATATTTTACAAGAATAAATTACTCGACGAAGACTATACATCGAATGATTATCGATGTGGGGTTTCGTGGCCATGGTGGGCCTATAATAGTAGGCTCTAGTCCAAAAGAGAAGTTGCTCCCAATAAATATTTAGTATATATGTCGGCCCCTCGTATTTAGGATATAGTAAAACCATTATGTTATATGTCACGTCACATAAAGAAGCAAAATTTTTTAGGGTAACAACTTACACTTACCTGAGATTTGCCTTAATTACAGATACATTCCTGTGATTTCAAAAATTACACAGACCTCCCTTACTTTTGAAAATATTATTTAGATTCCTCCTTCCCGTTAAAAGAGCCTTAACAACGTTAACTTGACAGTAGAATTGACCATAATATCCTTCAACCACATTGTGAAAATATACAACTGACCCTTAATGTTAAAAACCATTCTCATTCATTCTTTCCTAGGATAAATTACACTTACCTCCCTTGAGGTTTAGCATAATTACAAGTTAACTCCCTTTTACAATATTCTGAATAGTTTTCTTTCCCAAAAAATAAAAAATAAAAAATAAAAACTTACCAAAGAAAAAACAAATACTTAAGTGATCTAAATCCAAAGAAAAAAAAATCTAATATAATTTTTTTTCTTTATAGTTTTTTAAAATTTTTATTTCATTATATTAGCATGTAAAATAAAAACATATATAAACAGTGATTGCATTTATTTTTATAATCATTTTATTTAATATTTTTTATTTTGTTAATGTGTGTGTAGTCCAAAAAATGTCTTTAAAAAAAATAATAAAAAATCAGTAGTTCAAAAATATTTTTTGTTTATGACATAATTTTTATTTTTATAATCATTTCATTTAATACTTAATTGTAAATAATTTTATTTAGTTAGTTGTAAATTGTTGTCTAAAAAAATGCCTCAAAAATAATTTTTGTTTATGGAACAATTTTTATTTTTATAATCATATAATAATTGTAAATATTTTTTATTCAGTTAATTTAGGTATTGGTAAAAAAATAATTTGTAAACATTTAAAATCAATTATTCTTGAAGTCATTAACTATTGAAATAAAATGTAAAAAATTCCTTTCATAATGATTTGAAAATATGAGTTTTGGAGATTTTATTTGACAATTGGATTGGATTATGCATTGGTGGTTATCAATAATCCTACCAATGAATTGTTGAGGAGAAAGAGTTTCAAAAGAGTTTTTATAAAGAGAGACAGTGGAGAAAAACATATTAAAAAAAGAAAAGAAAAATAGAATATATATGTAGTCACTTAGATTTAAAACTTAACACATATATAGGACCATATGTTCCAGTTATGACATTTGTGATATTTGATTATGAATTATTGTGATGTTAGTTATGCCTTGGTTATGACTCATTATGATGTTAGTTATGACTCATTGTGATGTTAATTTTTGGTTATGATCCAAAATGTCTTTAATTATACTTTGTGGTATTTAATTATGACTTTTGTTTTTAATTATGACCGAAAAAGATTTAGTTATGAACACCACAAATGTCATAAGTTGCATATAGTACACTATTTTGAGAATATGTATTATAACATGATTCATATATATACTAGATATTTACATGTGCATATATAGATATGTATGTGTTTATATAGATATGTATGTGTTTATATATATATATATATATGTATATATGTGCAGGGGGAGGTAAGTATAATTTATTTCAATATGTTAAGTAGTTGAAGGGTAGTATTGGAATTTGTAGAATAATTATGGATGACACCAGCAGAATCTATTTGATTTTGGAAGAATGGGTAATAGAAGAGGGTCTTTGTATATTAGTTTCAAAAGTAAGGGAGGTCTGTATAATTTTTGAAACCACATGGAATGTATCTGTAATTAAGACAAACCTCAGGGGAGGTAAGTGTAATTTACCCAATTTTTTAATAAAAATATTTAAGTAATGTATAGAAGCCCTCTGCCTCGTATTAAAATGGATCGTATTTAGGTTGCTGCTGCTAGATCTACTTTCCATAATTACTACTCACAAAATCCTAACCAAACCTGAAAAGTTAAGGTAGATGATTGGTAAAGCTTATATCTAACTTTGACATTTGGAATTTACTAAGGAAAGCGCAATTGAGATCTCAAAACCAGCTAGCTTGGTGCCAAAAAGCAGCATCACCCTAAACCAACAGCTAGATGTGAAGATGGAAAACTAACTCCTTTGGTCTTTAGAAAAATCACTAGAAAGAGAAGGAATCAGATTCTTATTGCAATCAATCAGAGAAAGGAGGAGATACCCTCTCATCCAAAAGGAACATTTTCAAAACAATCTTTGGGGATGGAAAAGAGATTGCCAAATAACTCCAAAATCAATGGGAAAAACTTCACTTTGAGAATGAGAAGAGACAAGATCTATTGTGAATACCATGTTCATGACATGAGAAAAAGAGGCAAACCTGGGATAAACACATCCAGAAGTTGAGCCTGCAAATCACAATAAGAAAGCGAAAAGTAAATTAGTATTTCATGAAAGATGAAGTTAGTTCCAGGGTGTGTTTGTTTGGATCTTGGATTTGTAGATGAAAAAGGGTTTACATGAAATAGAAACCAGATTGTCCCTTTACCCTTTTTCAATTTCTGTTTTTCCTTGACAAAGTTATGATCCAAAATGGCATAGGGAGGGGGGACTTACTAGTGAGGGTCTGAGTGGTGGTGGCAGTGCCTGAGAAATCACAGCTGCCAGTAACTTGACTCTTCTTCTGAAAGTAGCTGTTGACAGCATAGTTACAGTGATCCTTCACAGTGTTGGGGTTGTAGCAAACACCATTTTGAATGATTGCACTACAGTCAGCTCCAGCTCCACAAGCATAATCTATGTTCTTCTGATAAACTGAGTCACTCAATCCATCTTTACAAACACAATAGGTACCACCTACACACACAAACACACAAATCCAACCAAATAATAGCAGATCAGCTCATACAAAATTCATGAGGAAAAAAGTTTAAAATAAAATAAAAAATGCAGTATGTAACTAAAAAGGGAAACTTTCATTTGATGGGTAAAAATTTAACCACGAAAAATAATGAAAAGAAAGATCAAACACCCACTAAGAAAAGAGGCCAATTTTATTTTATTTTATTTTATTTTATTTTTTAATGGTAGCATAAGAGGAATGAAAACCCATCTCAGAAGACATGAGATATATCATTTGGGGTTGAGAAAAAGAGAGAAAAAAAGAGTACACGTTACTGATCCAGGGGCTTACTTGAAGGACCAGTCATGGCCAAGAAAAGCACTAAACACACTAGAACAATAGCCATGATTGTTGCAAGATTGTGGTTGGAAAATTATGAGATTAAAGCTTTTAGAGGGTTTGGTTGAACTTGAAATCCAGACGGGTATGAACAAAGAGAGAGAATGAGAGAAGCAGGTAAGCTATTTTAGAGAGAGAAAGAAAATGGTAGTGTGAGTAACCGGTGGGTGGTGGGTGTCCCTATGTCTGATGCTTTTTCCTGTTTATAATCTCTTTATATCTAATTATCTTGGTTTGGGAATGGGTGAGAGACGGTGAGTGAGTGTCATGGGGAACTGAGCAAGGTAAAGTTTTTTTGTCATGTATTGAGTGAATGTACATTACATGTGTGATATTTTAAACGGTCGTAAACTCCTGTGCTTGGTTAAAACTTAACACAACTTTGGTTTAGGATGGTTTTTTTTTTTTTTGGGTCCGATTATTAGGGAGGAACATTGTCCGAATTCATCTGAATGGAATAAAATTATGATCAATTTGTTACTTATGATTTTAAAAAAATTAAAATCAATTCAATCCGTTTAAATTGGAGAATCAATCTGAATCAATTCATTTAAATACAGATTGAATTGGTTTAAAATCACGGATTCACATAGTTAAATAACAAAAAAAATATATAGAACATTTTAATATCATAAAAACATAAGCATAACATCATATTAGTTCCATAATAGTAATATGTCTTTCCATAATAGCAACATACTGTTATAAAATTTAACCAATCATAAGAAAATTGATTTCATCATAAGTATTAAACTATTACAAATTAAAACTAAAAACTAACAAATAAAAGAAATTAAAGAAGATACTATACAGGTTTAGGTTTTATATGGAATAAGAGAAGATACTATGCGGGAGGGTATATAATATAAACATAAGCTATTTGTATACGGTCTGGATCGGTTCTAATATGAAATCATGAGGTTCAATCCGGAAGCGATCCGTGGATTACGGATTTTTAATTTTTCAATTTGGAACCGAACCATGGATTCAAAAAATCAATCCAAATCAATCGGATTAGACTGGACCGGATCAGATTACGGATTTCACAAATTCCTTACTCAGCCTTACCGATTATAAAAATTATATTTTTTCCCTATAATTAATAGTCTCATTTTACAAATCATCTATTTGTATAAAAGGTAACAATTCCTAGTAAAAAAACAAATAAAATTATATTGAAAAAAAAGTAAAGCAAAGGAAAGGGAAAAAAATAATAATTAAACAAAGTAAGAAAAAAGAGGGGTCAGTGTAATTTTGATACTAACATTAATTCCATTTAAATAATTACAATAATAAGGGCTCAGTGTAATTTTATAAACGTCAAAAAGTAATATGTGTTAAGGAAAATGTCTCGTAACTCAAATTTTGTGGCTCAAAAGTGGCTCAAATGGTCAAAACGACGTCGTTTTGGCCATTTTTATGTTGTTCTGTACTCAAAACGACGTCGTTTTGGCCATTTGAACCACTTTTGAGCCATAAAATTTGAGCTACGTAGCATTGTCGATGTGTTAAACTCAAACTTAAGGTGTTATTGCAATTTAACTTTTTTTTATTTATTTTTCTTTTTTTATCAGAGGATTTGGATGGGTGCATCATGAGAAAATAGAACAGAAAGGGATAAATTATCCTTGACACATCTGTACTTTGCATTTATTTCGATTTTTACATATAGAATCATGATAATGTTTTTTAAAAAAGTATTTTTGGTTAAATTTTATTTTAATTTTTACACATAAAATTATGATAGTTAATTTTATATATTTGATTAAATTTCACTTTAGTCCTTATACAAATGTTAATATCTCTATTTTGTTATTTTATTATTTAAATTTTAATAGAATCTATGTGACAAAAATGTGACTATAAAATAATAGTAAGAGAGAAAAACTATCATCATTTTCTCCTAATATACACTTTTTCTCAAAATTTATATAAAATTATAATTGTATTAGACTAAAACAAAACGCATATTATGAATGATTAAAAAGATGAACTAGGTTTTGCATAAATTTAAATCACAAAACTCTAGTTTTCACAATAACACAGTTTTTTATTTATTTGTCTTTTTTTCTCTTTGAGTCCTCTGTTGTCTTTCTTTTTTTTTATTTCAAAAATCATATTTTCTAGTTTCTTTGTTTCAATTTTCAACAAACGAACAACTCTTATGTGTCTATCACATAGAACAAAATATGTATTGGTGAAAAATATGAATAATTTTTTCTTACTTTCATTTTGTAATTACATATTTGTCATATGATTAAATTATGTTAAAAATTTAAACAATAGAATAATAGAAGAGGAATATTGATACTTATGTAGAAATTAAAATGAGATTTGACTGAAAATAAAAAGTTGATTATCACGATTTCATATATAAGGAGTAAAGTAAGATTTGATCAAAAAATTTAAAGAGTTGGCTATTATAATTTGATGTGTAAATATTAAAATATAATTTGATGTAAAATGTACAGTGTAATTTATCCAAAGGAAATAAATATATATATAAAAAAAAATATTCAAAGAAAGGGTTGGATCCCCACTCTCCCTGTGGTGGTTACTTTTTTTTTGGAACCGTTTCTTTTTGTTTTTTTGTTAAAATTTTAGGACCATCTTTTATGTGCCGTCACTATGAGCCACCACTGTTTGGTGTTGTGGTGCAGCCCTCCTCCACTTTGGTTTAGATGATTGGGGTACATAGGCTTGTCAGCATCTAAAATTTTTTGGGTGCATGAATGATCTTTGGCTCTCCATAAGCTCATTTTCACCCATTTTTCAAAAATCCCATTTTATTTTATTGACCGGATATAAATTACTCTCAGTTCCGTTTATTTTGGGTGTAAAAGATCGAATGGGACCAAGATAGAGGTGGCGCTATTTAGTGTTATGTTTATTTATAGAGTTAGAGAAGAGATTAAGATGGAGGAGGGGATCAAGATGGAGGTTAGAAGGGGGATTGAGATTAAGAGGGTAATTTATATGTAAATTGGGCCGAGCTGAGTAATGGGTCATTCTGTGGGCCACAGTAAGAAGGGCTGAGTAAAAGGGGCCTTGTAATTAGTCCAGTCCAGAGGAGCCTTACAGATAGCCCGGTCCAAAAGAGCTTGGTGGTTAGCTCGGTCACCACAGTCAGCGCGGTGACAGTTAGCTCGGTCAAACCATCTTGAGCAGAGGTATTTTTGGCTTCTACTCAGGACCTTGTTGTTGAGTAGCTCGGTCCAAGTACGCTATGGTTAGCACGGTCTACAGCAAAGCCGAGGTACATGTTACACATAAAGCGCCGGGATAAATGTAACATGAGTATTGTTAGCTTAGTTACATTGTCATTGTGCCACGGCAATGCTAGCTCGGTCGTTTGGACATACCACCGAGCTAGGACCATCTCACTTGGTTTAAGCAGTGAGGAGCGTGTTGAAGGATAAGCATTATCTTTTAGGAGAGTAATTCCTAAGAGGACTCTGCATGGAGAAATAAGAGTCCTACTAGGATTGTGCCACACGGAACCTATAAAAGCTCACAACATCACCTATGGAGAGATAATACAACTTTGATTCTCGAATACACAGACCTTTTGTCTATTTGTCTATTTTGTTGACTTAGGCATCGGAGAGGTATCCGGCACACACCCGCCGGCTAGCTTACGTTTGTGTTTTCAGGGAGTAAAGCGACGACGTTTGGAGGAGCGCAGACTTGATCAACAGGATTATACGAGAAGATTATTTCTTACTTGTACAATTGGCGTCGTCTGTGAGAATCACAGAAAGAACAAAACCTCTTAATCAAAGTTTTCCTCGCTAGATTAGACGTAATGACGCATAATGAAGATTTGTCGCAGTCCGCCATTGACGGGAAAACCCCAGAGGGAGGTGGGAGGCACGAAGGTTTGCCTTCCATCCCTCCCATGGTAGATCTAGAGCCCCAGCGACAGAATCCCCGGAGGGATGCAAAGGGGAGGCGGGGTAACAACCCCCGTCGCTCATCAAGTCCTGATAGGCAGAGGCAGGTGGCGTTATTTAGTGTTATGTTTATTTATAGAGTTGGAGAAGAGATTAAGATGGAGGAGGGGATCAAGATGGAGGTTAGAAGGGGGATTGAGATTAAGACGGTAATTTATATGTAAATTGGGCCGAGCTGGGTAATGGGTCATTCTGTGGGCCACAGTAAGAAGGGCTGAGTAAAAAGGGCCTTGTAATTAGTCCAGTCCAGAGGAGCCTTACAGATAGCTCGGTCCAAAAGAGCTTGGTGGTTAGCTCGGTCACCACAGTCAGCGCGGTGACAGTTAGCTCGGTCAAACCATCTTGAGCAGAGGTATTTTTGGCTTCTACTCAGGACCTTGTTGTTGAGTAGCTCGGTCCAAGTACGCTATGGTTAGCACGGTCTATAGGCAAAGCCGAGGTACATATTACACATAAAGCGCCGGGATAAATGTAACATGAGTATTGTTAGCTTGGTTACATTGTCATTGTGCCATGGCAATGCTAGCTCGGTCGTTTGGACATACCACCGAGCTAGGACCATCTCACTTGGTTTAAGCAGTGAGGAGCGTGTTGAAGGATAAGCATTATCTTTTAGGAGAGTAGTTCCTAAGAGGACTCTGCATGGAGAAATAAGAGTCCTACTAGAATTGTGCCACACGAAACCTATAAAAGCTCACAACATCACCTATGGAGAGATAATACAACTTTGATTCTCGAATACACAGACCTTTTGTCTATTTGTCTATTTTGTTGACTTAGGCATCGGAAAGGTATCCGGCACACACCCGCCGGCTAGCTTACGTTTGTGTTTTCAGGGAGTAAAGCGACGACGTTTGGAGGAGCGCAGACTTGATCAACAGGATTATACGAGAAGATTATTTCTTGCTTGTACAATTGGCGTCGTCTGTGAGAATCACAGAAAGAACAAAACCTCTTAATCAAAGTTTTCCTCGCTAGATTAGACGTAATGACGCATAATGAAGATTTGTCACATTCCGCCATTGACGGGCAAACCCCAGAGGGAGGTGGGAGGCACGAAGGTTTGCCTTCCATCCCTCCCATGACAGATCTAGAGCCCCAGCGACAGAATCCCCGAAGGGATGCAAGGGGGAGGCGGGGTAACAACCCTCGTCGCTCATCAAGTCCTGATAGGCAGAGGCCGAGGATCGACCCTCAAGTTTTGAAGGATCGGGTAAAGGAGCAGGACAAGTTAATCAGGAAGATGGCG